TTTTTTTGGTTCGTGGTTGTTGCTTTCACTGAGAGACAGGTTTCAAGGCTTACCTCTACATCTCTTTTTAGCCTCTTTCAGTTTATTGTTTCAGTTGAGTATAAGCTAGCAAGCTCAATAGCAACAAATAAAATCCACTCTTTCTAATTTTGACTGTCACCATCACAGCTACTAGCGAGGCGTCCATCTGACTGAGAACATGAAGATACGGTGACGCTGTAGTGACCTGTCAATCACAAGTGGCTCCATCCTAATGCATAAAAAACAATTATCACCTACTTTACTCTAAATGAGAGCATCACTTTACATTATCCTCCATGCCACACCTGTATATGTGTAAACTCACCATATCACAACTGTACTTATCAATATGTAAATTACGCTGTGTCATAATGTACATATCCATGTGTAGAGTCATCATGTCTGGTACACTTTCTCTGTGAGGCCTTTTTTTAAATTATCATATCTTTATTTTTTATTATACTTTTTATAATTCTTTGCTTCTTTCTGCCTCGCCTGTATCCAGCTGCTGAATTACCCCAGTGAGGGATCAATAAAGTTCATCTTGAAATGTTTACTGAGGTACAAGTAGGATCTATGCATTCTAGCCAATCAGACTTCTTTTTTCAACCAGAGGAGTCGCCCCCTGCTGGCTGCTAGAAAGCACGCAGGTGAAAGCCACTTGCTGCATCATTAGTTCATATATAGTTTATGAATAGAGCAGAGGTATGTGTTTGTCATTATCATATGACAACAATAATAATAATAATAATTTAAATTAAGACTAATAATAAGAAAACAGTAGCTTGAAGAGTGAGGTGGAAGTCAAGAAGGTAAAAACACATTCTTGTTCCTACAGATGGAAAGTTGAGGTTTCAGGATGCTAACAGTCGTGTGGCTGCTGGTCTGATGTGACTACGAGCTTGTGCTGCCAGATGTGATTCTTTTAAAGCAGCAATATTCAATAAAAGCCACATATTCTTGCTTTAAAATATAATTTGCAGACAGCTTCGTAAAAAGTACATTTTATTCCAACATTTGCAGAAAACAAATGCACTTACGCACAAGGTCTGACACAGTCTGGCCTCTGTGCAGCTCTGCTTAGTGTTAAATGCTGCTCCAACGTGAACAGAGAAGTTTGAGAAAGGCCAGTAAGTAGCTGACACAACTAGTCAACACTCAGAGCACAGCCCGAGTGCAGCGCTGTCCCAGGAACAGTTTGTGTGAACAGGCAGCCAACGCTGATCTCACAGCTCCAGTGTGGGTGGGATGAGAAGAAAGACAGAAAAACAAGCTACTCTCCCCAGAAAGAACTGCAAAGAAAAGGAAGGAGATAAAGAGAGACGAGGAGAGCCACTGGGTAGGAGACCAGAGAAAAACTCTAAAGCAAAGCAGAAAAGAAGGAAAGACACGAGGACCATTAAAGCAAACAGGTCAAACTGCTGCACATTAAAGATGATAAGTTAAAGAAAGACGTGACGACCTTGGCTTTGAGGAACGGCGGCAGAATAAGCCTTGAAAGGACAGCGTAGTACGACAGAGAGAGAAACGAGCCAATGCTGAGCTGGCTCAATGAAAAGACAAATGAAAGACAGACAGACAGAGCATGGCGGAGGGCTGTGGGGTGATTAGAAGGTCCAAAAGAAACTTATTGCATGCCCTGAAAAAGAAATATGCGATTTATCTTGAATCCTTTAAGCCTCGAGAGAACACAAAATCTGCTCATTATGGAGCTTCATCGTGACTCCGTCTACCGCAAACTCTTTCTTTCTTTCTTTCTTTCTTTCTTTCTTTCTTTCTTTCTTTCTTGCTTTCTTTCTGTGTCTGTGTCTTTCCGTGGCTTCCAGCTAATCTCTTCCCTCCAGCTGGAGTCTCTATTTCACCAGCACAACGAGCTCCACCGGCTCCTGAAAGCGATGCCACTTTCTGCTCCTCTACCTCCGCCGCATTACACACAATGGAGGGCTAAAACCTCCCTCTCGCTCTGCTTATCTGCTCCTAATTGGCAGCCGGCGGCAGGGCCCGGGGCCCGGGCGGGCGGATCCTGCCTCGGTGGTCAGATCGTTGAACGAGACTACAGCCGCCGGGATTTAAATGTCATACTCATTTGCCGGCGGTCAAGGCGGTGCGACCTGGGGAATCAGTGTAGGTGCAGGCCTTACTCAGCAGGAGGGGGTCTGCGGTCGCACAGGGACACAGAGGAGAGGGTACGGCGGGGCTAATACCTACAGACCTGTGTGAAAAGGGGAAATTGACTCAACATATTGGCAAGGTGTTCTGAACAAAAGGCTCTCGCTTACGCTGCAGGTTAGTGCTGCAGAGAAGAGCTGCTGCTCCTCAACTCCACCCGACTCCATTTCATGCAGACGTTTCTGAGCAGCGCATTGTTCCCTGAAGTCAGTGCTTTAAAAAAAATATCTTAAACTGTAATTTTTGAACAATTTACTGGTATTTTAGTTCCACTTTCGGTCGATCCTCATTCCAGTTTTCTGCCGCTAATGACTCAAACTCGTTGCAACAATCCTTAAAACTCACCTCATACGTATGACTTTATAAAATCAATTAGAGCAACACTTCAGCTCTGTTTTGAGCCTCTCTGTTTTACACGTCTTTGCATAATTTGTTTTGTAATATTGTGTGAGTTGCTGTCTACTGTTCTTGCTGCTCAGCTTGTTTGTCTGCCGCCTCCTGACCAGGTCGTTAGTGAAAATGTGAACCAGTTAAAACTAATTGCAGTAAACAATTAGCAAAAGAACAGAAAAAAGTAACAATTTAAATGTTAATCAATAAACAGACCAGCAAATAAAATCCCATCGTCTAAAATTAGTATTTTTTAAAACATTAATTCAGTTCTTTACAATGTTTGAGTTATAATTACACTATTTTACTATAAAACTATTTTATGTGCTGTTATTTGAAAGAAAACCGATTTAGACTAAGGATAGAAAAACGTGTTTGAAAACTGCTGCATGAAATATTTACCATGAATGATGATATAACTATGCTACGATGATGGAAATATAGACTGTCATAATTTAACAGATTGAAAATGTAACATTGTGTCTAAATATTAATTTAATGGGCTTAAATCTTACAGATTAATTGTCTCCTACATTTCAATGAGGGTTTTTTTTTAAAAAAACTTTTTTACAGACAGATGTTAATGAACTTCCAGAATGAAACAATCAGTAATAACTTCGTTTTTTGTACATTTGTCATTAGATGGTAAATGAATATAAACAATTCACTGCAAAAACTTTTATTTATTTATTTTTATCTCACTAGTTGTACATAGATCATCTAAATCAGCTCCATGTTCAGCATCATTTAAACACATTTATGTGCCATTTACAATAATGCAAAACTACAAAACACGATATAACTAACCCTGGAACAACTGCATGATACGGACATTCTACCAAAACTCGCTCTGTCCATCCATCCATCATCTCTACACCTTCATCCTCACCAGGGTCATGGGGGGCTGGAGTCTATCCCAGCTGACTCAGGGTGAAGGCAGGTTCACCTGGACAGGTAACCAGTCTATCACAGGGCTACACTTAGAGACAGACAACCAAGCACACTCACATTCACACCTACGGACAATTTACAATCACCAATTAACCTCAGCATGTTTCTGGACTGTGGGAGGAAGCCGGAGAACCCGGAGAGAACCCACGCTGCACGGGGAGAACATGGAGACTCCACGCAGAAAGATCCCGGGTGTCCTCACCGGGACACGAACAGGTGACGGTGTTGACCACATCAAATTCAAATTGCTTTAATAGCCCACGCAGGGCTCAAATATTAGAAAGTTTCACATCCATATGAAAGATGCAACAAGTAAGAACCACTAAAAGGCCCGATCTGGAGTTCTGTGGATGCTGCTGTTCTTTATTGAGTAGCGATGATGTGAAGGTGATGCCGCTGATACCATCTTGTCATCTTGTTGGTGTATAAAAAGGTTTATTGCAACAAATACAGTATCTCAGACATCATGGTTCGCCTGTGGGAGGATTCGAAGCCAAAAAGAATCAGAACAACCTGAGCTACCGGCTTCTACAGGGGGGTTGGTTACGCACACTAAGACAACATACATGCCTCACATCCTGAAGGGAACCCCACCTTTGACCGAGGGATTCCTAATGAAACACTCCCATGATAGCACAGCGTCACACTGGGTTGACGGGTTCGAGGAGGAAACCTCCCCGAGATCCTGCACACACAGCTGGATCAGCACATCCACGGCCCGTACGAGTCCCCTCCTCCCTCTGAAGCGCCGCGTTAGGTTCACACATCTGAAATATGCAGCGCTCGCCTCTGAATATTCAGGCAGAGGGATCAGTGGAGACCCCCAGGACCTACATGATGGACCCAGAACTTTGGCGCCGTGCTCACAGCTGTTGTGTTCACTGATGCTGTCGACATGAACAAAGCACCGGAGGTTTGCTGTGAAAGACACATCCGGTGTGTTCGCAGCTGGTTTGACAGAAAACCTTTCACACGTTTTTTGGGGGAGGATCTGTTGATTTCTAGTGTTGGAGGGTCGAACTGCAAACGGTGTGTGTCTTTCAAAAGAAATTGAATCGGGTGTAATTTATTTATATTCCTCCGTCCTCCTCCTGATCTGACAGCGGAGGTGAAGGAGTCTGCTGCAGCTTTCTGCCAAATCTGCTCGCGTCGGTCCAACCTGAGGAATCAAAGCCCTCGTGTATCGGTCCACTTGTTCTATTTCACTCTACAGTCACACTGCCGCCTCTTCCAGAAGCTAAAGATGCTTTAACTCCTGCTTAACTATCCGAATGCGTGACGTGTGAGAGTCAGCAGCGGTGAGTTGATCTTCAGCCTCTGCTGCTCCAGCCGCACATACAAATTTCTGCTGAGCTGCTTGAGAGTCAAATGAACTCACGAGTTGCTGCTTTATTTATATTTCTTAACCTTTACTCCCACCAAGTTAGAGAATTTCCCGGAGTGAGAGCTGAAAGCACAACTTTTTGTTTTCTGGAGTTCGCGGTGTGTGCAAACGCGGCAGATGAAGGATGCGCTCGCTGCTGCTTATTTACAGTCTCATGAGGCGTTATGAAATGTTCAGCTCTCTGAAGGTTTGTTTGGTGAGACAGTTGGTGCTGAATAAGCTATGGGACTTCATGAATGAGTGAGCATATTATGAATATGAAAAAAAAACAAACCAACTGCTGAAATATTTAGCTGAGACAGATTTCCACCGGCGGGAAGGTAGGTGTTGGTCTCCTACTTTGTGTTTTATGATGTATGAGTTTATCACCGGGAAAGCACCTGTACAAGTAAATTATGTACATTTATGTATTAGCTGTTTTTTTTTCTACCAGCTGTAACCTCGAAAGCAGAGCAAGTGAACAAAATGGAACTTTTAACAAAACAGGGCATCAGATACGAAAACACAGAAACTCAGGATCTCAAACGGGTTTTCTATTTTCCCCGCTATATCACACGATCTCTCTCGTATCTCTCTTGGTGCTGATCCCTCATTGGATCGCTTTTTGCGGTCACTGTGATGGTGTGAACACGTGACAGCGCTCACCCGTGTGATGCACCGTGGTCTCCGCCCTGGTCACCGTGCTGATGATGTGGAGGTCCTGGAACAGAACGATGCCTCCCGACGCTCTGAAGTCGGAGGCCGCGTGGCTCAGCCTCTCCACCCCGCTGATGGTGATCCGGGGCTCGCTGGGCTGCAGCACCATCACCACCGCATCGATGTCGGGTATGGTGATGCAGGTGTCCTCGCCAAAACACCTGGACAGAGAGAGAGAGGTGACGAAAGGCAGGAGAGTGAGAGGTGGGTGACAGACTGGGAATTCAAGCTTAGGTTCGTACTGCCGTTTGACTTTCTGAGCTGATGAGCAACAGGATTTTGAAGTTACAGACACGCTATCATACACTGGTGCTCAAAGAAAGTACATAACCCCTTAAATAACACCATTATATTGCAATATTTCCTGTATATTACATGAGATATTGATGTACATGAGCTGTATTGAGCTTCAGCTGTTGCTTTCAGCCATAAAGACACAGTCTGCTAGTCATTCCTAGCTTGTGTAAAGATGATCCCTGGTAAACTTTTCTTTTAGTTTTGCATTTAAAATGATAAACTGAAGCAACTTGAGGGCTTCTGATAACATTTCAACCATAAATGTTGCCTTTACCAAAGGTGCTGTATGAAAGTTTTGGAATATTTTGAGAGCACCTGTCAAATGCAGGATTATTTCATGATTCATTTTCATAAATCTTTAATTTATAGTTAAGTTGTGTTCTTGGCTAATCGTTGTTGGTCCTAAACGGAGACAGATTTAGTGACTGCATGGTTTAATTCTTGCCTCAAATGTTTCAGAAACACATTTTGGCAGAGCTATTTTTGAAATATAAGCAAAAGTTTGGGAAACTTTTTAATCTAAAACAGTTCAGCCACACTGGGCCGATTTGAAAGCCCACGAACATTCGTCCAATCAGGTGCCCCAATCCTGAGTGGCCAGTGGGAAATTTTGAGCGCAGGAAACACACGGCATTAATCGCACCACTCCAGTTCGCTTTGTTGTCATTTTTTACAGCGTCAGCCACCCTGTGCAAGGCTGTGATTGGCTGGTTTTGTGGCACATTGGTAACGTCGTGCCAAGTTGGACGAATGTGCAGGCAAATTTGACCTTGAACAGATCATCAGAGAAAGACACCACGAGCGTGAACGTGTAGCTGAGTGCACAGAATGGAGATCTGACAAAAGCAAGTGACAGACGGCGTGATGCTGCGTCTATGTCTGTAGCTGCAAACACAGCAGCAAGAGTTTTAAGTGCAGAATAGATTTTTGTTTGCTTAGATTAAGTTTTTATTTGCTCAAGCTTTTTTCAAACATTGCGCGCTCAGGACTGTGGCACGAATATAATTCACTGGTGCAGCCAGTGTTTGCATGTCTGTAGGAGGGCAGAGCCTGTGCTGGAAATCCTGTTGAAGAGCAGCTGTCAGACGTGTGTCATGACATGAAAATGCCCGTGTGGAAAGCTACCATCACTGTATATTTAAAAAAAAAAAAAGTTTTAATGATGTTTTGTGTGCATGAATCCAGTTTTATTTATTTAGCACCAGTCGAGGTCATCTCAGGACACGTCACATAGTGAGGTCAAGACCTTATAGAGGGAACCTAACAAACCCACTGTTATTGTTCCTTTCAGTAATGACATTGAGATAAAATCTGCCACCATGACACTGACCTCTCTATAAAAGTCACACACACTGACTCTCCCATGCCCTTCAGGAGTGTGTGGCCGTGTTGTCCTGTGACTTTCTGTTTTTTTTTCTGGGTGCTGCTGGAGGACGTTTTATAACATAACACCGACCTCTCGTAAGCTGTTTTACACCTCTGCAGCATCAGAATGTAAAACTGCACAACATTACAGCGGCGAATAAAGCTTATCAACAGAAACAGAAGCTCTTAGCTGCACTAAAAACTGCAGCTGCTACGTCCAAACCCGGACCACAGCGTGTGCAGTTATTCAGGGGGTAAATCGCTCTGTCATGTTCCGGCAGCAGACGCAGACCTGCAGCGGTGCTCCTGCTGCGTTTTCATATGTGCACGTCTGCCTCCCTGCTTGCATGTCAGCGTGCAGTCGCATGCGTTTAAATGCACAGCATCCTCTGGCAGCCCTGAATGGACGGACACGGATCTGCTCTCTAGGACTCGAGTTAGCCAGCTGTGAGCCACGCAGAGAGACAGCGTTATCCAGCAACACACACACAGATCTGCCATATTCACACAAACGAGCAAAGACATGTGACGCACAACCCGCCTGATGCATTGGCTGATACGTACATACGCACGGAGTAAAGACTGCAGCTCACACATCAATCACATGGAAAACATGACATATTAAAATGAGAAAGAGGCAGCGGAGGGGAGGGGAGGCTGAGCCGAGCCCGGTGATGGTGGAGCCGGGGAGGTAGAAGCAGTGAAAGCTGAACAAACAAGCCAGATTTCTGTTTTTACATTTCACTAAAGGCCTTTCAAGCACACAAACATCTGTCAGTGGGAGGGACATCAATGGCTTCTTTCCTTACTGCGACTCTGTAACCAGCTACCACATCATAACAAGCTTTTCTTCTTTGCTTTCCTAGATTGGAAACCTGGGCTATAAGATTTCAGCTCCTGTATTTTCTCACCTACATTTTGATGTAAATTATGCTGCATGAATCCATCTGATGAATCTCCATATGTTTTCCCGCCTCTAGCTGCGTCGTGGCGTATGCATTTTTATGAAGAGCTTTAGAAAAACTGAAAGGAGGTGGCAGGACATCAGAAAATAATCTATTTTAAAAGTTTTTCCATAAAGTATTTGCGTAGCGCGGATGATTACAAACGTTGTCTCAGGATGCCGTGTGACGTGTTTTTAAGCATATGCAAGAGAAGCAATCAGATAAGAGTTATGATTCATTTCAGATGTTCAGTCTGCCTTTAAAGGGTTTTTTATTCCACTGTGGGAACAATGCACTGATCAAATACAACATTAAAGTCACTGTCAGATAGAGTGAGGAGCTGATGTGTTGGAAGCTGAAAAGATGGGGAGCATCTGAGTGGCTTTGACTGTAGGAAAAAACTGTGATAGTGTTCCTGGTATGCAGTGGTACCGAACCTGGTCCAAGGAAGGACAAAGACATTTGGATCTTACATCTACTCTAACATTGCTGCAGACCACATGGACTCCTTCACTGCATGACAGCAGTGGCCTCCTTCAGCAGGATGATGCTCAGCACCACACCGCAAACGAGGAATGTTCCAGTTCAAAGATGGAATCTGGGCATTTTTCAACTCATCAGTATCTGAGGAACCGACAGCCAATGGCATGTTTACATCCGCTGTCACAGAGACGTCGCAGAGAAAGAGCACAATATGTGGAAGAAGTCTGATGCCACTTGGATCTCAT